GGGGACGTAGACCCGAGGCCACGGGGATGGCCCCCCCCAGCCCGCAGCACCCACCACACCGCGAACCCGCTGGCACCACGTTAATGATCAACCACGGGCACCCGTTACCCACCGTCCCCGGGGAACCGGTGGCTCAGCCGGTTGTGCCTACGGAGCCCCCCCCCATCCCCTGGGGTTGAGTCCCCCGCGTTCCGGCCGGTACCGGGAGCAGCCTTAACCCAAGGCTGGGGGATGCCGAGCCCCGGCACGGGGGTCCGTGTTGCCGCCAGCCCCCCACCCTCGCCCGCAGCCCCTTACCGGTGCCCGGTCCTCGCGGTGTGCCACGGTCCTCGCAACGTGCCGCGGCCCCGGCTGAGTGCAACGGAGCAGAAGGAAGGCGACGTGCGTGCCTGGCCGCTCGCTCCCTCCCATCCCACCCCGCCGGGGGGGCCTACGCGGCCCCCACCACCTTGCGCACCACTGCACCGCAACCCGCACCCACCCTGTCCGGCCTAGGGGCACCCCAGGGTCTCCAGCCCGGTGTGGGGGACCCCGAAAACTGTCAGGGCCTCTCCCCCGGGACCGGGGGTTTTCCCTAGGCGGGGAGCAGAGCATACGACAAGCGGGAAACCAGAGCCAAGGCAGCAGCTTCTTTATTCAGCCGTGTGGGGAGCCTGGGGGGCTGGGGGGGGGGGGGTCATCTGGGTGCCTGGTGGGTGATGGGGGACCCTTCTGTCACCTTGCTCTAAGGAAGAGAGAGAGCAGGGTGAGCACCCACAGCCTGGCCCCACTGGCCCCCCCGCTGCTCCCCGGTCCCCCCCTCCATGTACCATGGGCACCTCGTCCAGGTGATGGAAGCCGGGGGTCCGACGCCGGCACAGCCACACCAGCAATATCGCTGCTTCCCCCACCAGTACGCAGACAAAGAGGCAGATGACGATGACCACGCCGGGGTCAGGCTTGGCAGGGGGCTGCGCTGCAGGGGTGAGACAGGCACCCTGTGACCCCCCCGGCACTGCCGAGCCTTGTGTCCGGCCTCCGAGCACCGCGGCGGCAGCTCTCGGGGCGAGAAGGGGGCTCAGGACTGGCTCCAGCTCCCCCCACCACCACCATCCCACCGCTCACAGACCTGGCACCCAGCTCCCATGTCACCTCCACCCACGGGGGACCAATCTGGGGCCCCCCCACCCTCCCTGGCTGGGGTCCTGCTATACAGAGGCTGGGGGAGAAAGGGGGAGCTCTCAAATCCCCCCCCCAAGGAGGACGAGGCAGCCTAGGGGGGCTCTGGGCACAGCCCCTGAGTGGGGGGTCTAGGGGGTACCCGGGGCTGCTGCCATGCCCATGGCCATGGGCAGGTTTGGGGGTTCCCTGCCTGCACAGTGCCCCCCCAGCCTGGCTCTCACCTGAGTTGCCAGCTGCGGTGCTGGTGCCAATGACCGGTGTTGTTCTGGAGCTGGTGGCCAAGGTGCTGGTGGGACTGGGGCTCACAGTGAGCGCTGGCGAGCTGGGAGCAGGAGGGGGCCCGGAGGGTCCAGGTGAGGTCGGGGCTGGTGCTGCCGTCGAGCTGGATGGATGCCCTGTGGCTGGGGAGCTGGGAACAGTTGGGTGGGATGGAGACGGTGCCGTGGTCATGTAGAGTGGAGATGAAGGTGTTGCTGAGCTGGGTTTCGTGGATGGAGACAGTGCCGTGGTCGTGTTGAGTGGAGATGAAGGTGTTGCTGAGCTGGGTTTCGTGGATGGAGACAGTGCCGTGGTCGTGTTGGGTGGAGATGGTGTTGCTGATGCCGATGTCATGGATGGAGACGGTACCACAGTTATCCCTGAGCTGCTTAGAGACACTGGGCTGCTGGCATCGATGCCATGTCCTGACTCTGAAGTGTGGAGGAGAGAACTGGTCAGCAAGGACATGGCAGGGCCCTGGTGGGTGGGGGGGGGCAGGCGGGGGTCCAGAAAGGGCAGCGGTGCCTGCCCCAGCTCCCA